ACCCAACTAATTGAGCCATTAAAACAACAATTTAGAAAAAAGAAATGAGCTAAACGACAGACATCTTAGCCAAAGAAGCAGCTAACATTTTAAGAAGCAAACGACGGGACAACAGCAATAACAACAACCACAATATGTTAGCTAAACAACTTATTTTTACTTTCGATATTTGTTGGTTTGCCTGTGTTAACTGTCAATCTTAGGATAAATTTGCATTTTTCACCCTTCTCCCCCTCTCTCTTCCACCCATCTATTTCTAAATCTGTCTCTAAGTAAAAAATTCTTGACACGGGTCTGATGGCGGTGCCGCCTAACCATAAAAAGGGGACAGGATGGCCATAGAACATTGTAAGGATTCCAGTGCAGCATATGAATGGATATTAGTTGAATGGTTTGTTTGCTTGCTTGTCCGGTGGTTATCTGTTAGGAATGATGATGACGACGATGATGATGGACAAGTACGAGAAGTCTCAAGAAAAACAAGATGTTTATTTCTAAAGTTAATAATGGTTTCTTGGTACGTCGGCACGGCCTGCCACTTACTGTCCAGAGATAACATCGGCCACAATTTCAAAAGAATCAACAACCGGCAGCAGCAGCAATAACAACAACAAAAAACATACCTGGCTACTAATGACAGCGATTAGTAGTTGTAATTTAACAAATAAATTCAACTTAAACACACTCACACATACATACGTACAAATGTATATACGTAGGAATTGAGACACCATTGGAATTAGTTAGTCGAGGAGACGTGTGACAGACAGACTGACTGACATGTGGAGTGGTCAGAGATCCAAACAAATGTTACGTTTATTCGAAGTTTGTGTGCTGTTTGTAGTTGTTATTATTGTGTTGCCTTCTAGTGCAAATATTTGTGCGGTAGATAGGAGGAGATATTTAAGAGACTTGCATTAGACAGCAGTTTGCGATAAGAAGTTGCAAAAAAAAATTGTAGAGGTAAAACTTGCGTCCAGATGGACATAAGCGAACTCGTTGTACCCTACTTTCTCGTGATTTCTTTTTTTAATATAAACGGGTGAGATCGTATGTGGAAAGTAAATGTCTTCTAAGGATCGAAGGGGACTTCTACGAAATATGAGGTCTTTTATGAAGAGACTCTGTCTCAGAAGAGGTTTTCTATGAATAAAAAAGTTTCTCTATGGGTAAAAAGGTCGTCCGAAAGGCCTTCACTCATGAAGGTCGTGGAATTTGAAATATTTTTTAAAAGTACAAGACCATTTCAATGGTTTGTGTTTTTTAGAAAGGTCCAAAGGCATATAAGCTTGGATTTTAAATAATATTACTATCAAGGACCAATAGGCGTGAATTATTTTAAAAATATTTTTTTTTCAGGGACCAATAGTAGTGGATTATTTAAAAAATATTTTTTTAAAGGCCTATTGGTCTTCGAAAATATATTTTTTCCTCGTCAATTGATCTTTGAAAAAAAAATTATAAAAATGGGTGATTTCAAAAATATTTTTCGACGCCCAAGAAGTTGTCGTCTGTTAATAATATCGAGTATTTTACGGACATGAGATGTCTTCTATGGACTGAACAAGCATTTTAGAATAAGACAAGTTTTATATGGATTAAAAATGAGATTTTCTATGAATCGAAGGAGTCTTATATGTATAGAAGGAATTTATTATGATTAATTTATGTATTCGGATCTTAACGGTCTTCTATTGATCGAATAGAGCTTATGGAACTAGAACCTATTTTCTATGCTTAGAAGAGGGTTTCTATGAATAAAATATATTTTTTATGATATTTCCTATGGATAGAAGCGGGTTTCCATGAGGTTTTCTTTTGGAAGTATTTAATTAATAAAATCTACTGATAAATGAGTCCTTTTATAGAAGAAAACATCTATGGTTATAAGATGTCCGGTTCGAAGAGGTCTACATTTAATTGAATATTTGTCTACATTGAGGAGAGGTCTTCTGTGAATATATGGGATATTCTTTAAATACTGGAAGGTTGGAAAAGATATTCTATGGATAGAAGATGTTTTCTTTTGATAGGAATAGTCTTCAATCTAATGGATTGATAAAAATAGAAGATGTCATTTTATAGTTAGAATGATTGTGCCATGTACATAAAATATTTCCTATGAGTAGAATATAACCATTGTGGACTCATAGAACAATGTTTGCGGATCGAAGAGGTCTACGGGGTCTTATGTGAATACGAAGTTCTCTAAAAAAGAAAATATTTATTAAAAATGTCTACGGAGGTATCCTCAGAAACGTCTTTGGCTATGAGATACCATTCAAACTATATGTTTAATTTCTGAAATATTTTCCTTGTGGACTATCCGAGCCAAAATGGCGATCCAAGCAATAGGCTCCGATGTCTTAACACCCTTTTTGTCTTTTAAAATGTAGAAAGACAATGCGAGCTAAAACCTAGATATTTTGATGTTTTTTTTTTCGAAGAACCAATAGGGCCATCAGATCTGAAGACATAAATTTCGACCATCAGGACCATCAGAGCTAAAAAATTAGATTTGTTGACGAATTTGTTTGTAGGGCCTTCAGCCAGAAAATGTAGATTTTTTTTGTGGAGTACAAGCTAATGTCTGAAAACATAGAAGAAGAATTATTTCGAAGGGCCAAAGGATTAAAAAATAAGATTTGCTGCCGAATTTGTTCGGAGGACCATCAGCTTAAAAATGTAAATTTTTAAGTGGACCATACATTTTTTCAATTATTTATTTGTGAGACCATCAACTATGAAAACACATTTTTTCGAATAACCGAGCTCAAATTTGTCCCAAGGACCAGCAGACCATGAAAAGTAGTTTTTTTTATCGAAATTTAACAAAGAATTTGATCAAATTCTTTAAATGGTCTGCTGGGCCTTTGAAGAAGTTCCTCAATCATCAATATGATCTGATGGTCCTTTGAACAAATTTGTCCATAGGGCTCTCCGATCAAATCCGAATGACTATCAGAGCTGATTTTTTTTTTTTTTTTTTAACTTGTTCGATGTTATATCAGAGCTTACGACTAAAAATTTCTAATAAATTGTTCGAAGGACCAACCCAGATAAAAATTTAGATTGAAGAAAATCTTCAACGGGCCATAAAACTTTTCAAAAAGGGTTGTCAAAACTGCAAATGTTGATATCTTTTAAAGAATTGGTTCGAAGGGCTCTAAGAGCTGAAAATATAGATATCTTAAAAAAACTTATTCGAGGATAATCATAAATTAAAATAAGATATTTTTAACGAATTGTTCGAAAAAAAAATGTTCCATGATCTGTAAGAGCGAATAATATCGATTTTTAGGCAGATTTATTTGAAGAATCATCAGAGTTGAAAACGTAGATTTTCTAAAGACTTTGTTCAAAGGACTGTTATAGATGAAAACGTAATATTTTCGAATACTATTTTTTAAGTACCATGGCATCTGATTTTTTGGCGTTTTTTTTTTTTTTTTTGGAAGGACCAGAATTTGCTCGGAAGGCTGTTCTTCAAAGTTAAAAAAGTAGATTTTTTAAGAATTTATTCGCAGTACCCTAAGAGCTAATGGACTATATGAATGCTCAATTAGCTCTGAGGGTACTTTTTTACCTTTTTTGTTTTGAAGGAGATCTTCTTCTAGGAGCATCATTGAATATTCCAATTTATCTGCTTATATTTCTATGATATCTCTTCTATCTATAAATACAATTTTATGTGTATAGAAAACCTCATCTTGTTTTTGACTTCCGTAAAAATCCCATAACTAATAAATCTTTTTATTTTCCTCTTGTCATCCTTTATTTGCCCTTCCACTACAATTATTTCATTGTTCCATCAATTTATTTTCTTCTCCTTGTATTTCGACATTCTAATTAAATCGCTTTTATTCCGCCTTTGTTTATTTACAGACAAGGAGACCAGCAAATGTTCGCGTATTGAAATGCTAGACAGCAACAGCAGAATAGCAAGCAGATAAAGTTACTTTCCCAACAAGTCCCAAGATAGAGGATTTGTTGAAAAGCTATCATTTCAGGGCCAAAACGGGGACATGTTCCTCGGGAGTATTTAAGCAAATGACCCAAAACAATTAGAAGTGAAAAACAATTAAAAAATAAACAAAGCGAAACTAAAACTAAGAGAGGAGATAAGCGCGAGACAGCAGCTGGGACTGACAAAATCGCCCTCCTCTAAATGTCACAACAAAACTAAGCCATTTAAAGCTGGCTGGGAATGGAGATGATAGTACAAAATTGCCAAGCACACAAAAACTAACTGCTTTGAAGGCTAACAAATAAAAAGGAGCACAAAGGACTCAACTCCAATAAAAAGGACAATTCGTTTTTGGAGGATAATAAACGAAATACAGGCACAAAACATTTTTGAGCTCAAAAAGAAACACAACAAAAGGACTATCTGGAGGACGAAGAAGAAGTGCAGAAGTAACAAATCAAAATTCATAAAAGTAACATAGACAAGTTGAAAGCAGATTCGCACAAAAAAGGACACAACAAAAATCCTTGCAAAAAAACAACAACTTCCAAAAACAGGATAACAAACAAAAAACCAGGATATTTCCTTGCCACACTTAAAACAGTGACATATCCTTTGTTGTCACAAAAGTCCTGAGAGAAGAAGAGAAGGAGGAACAGAAGTAGATATCCTCTACAAAACTCATGCAATTCAAGCTGCCAAATGTAATTAAACTACACTCAAGCACAAAAGTATGACACAAATTTAGCATAGCCTGAAATAGAAAACCTAGTTTCATTTAAGACAACAACTGCACAGCAAAAGAAGAATGCAACAAAACAGAATCCAAAAACCCCATTTGCTGCCGCTTTGAAGAAAAAGCTTCCATAACAGAACTGAAGAAAAAAAGAACTGCTACTCTTAGAAAGGCCGACAGACATTTTGTTAATTGCCATTATTTCCAAGCCATTTCCTCCCGCACTTTCTCCCACTTTTATTTTCTCTCAACTTGAAAAACGGAAACAAAACAAACACAACAACAGCAACAACAAACATGGCTTTCATATGGCGGCGACGTTCCACTTCAATTGTAAAAATAATTGCCATTTTGATGGCCATTTGGTTTTTCGTTGCATTCTTCATTTACACCGATGATGCACGCCGTGATCCGACGGCCACCAACAAATGGAATGCCATGAATTTGCCGTGGCAACGTTTTGGTGGTGTGGCCGGCAATGGAGCCGGAGCAGTCGCCGGTTCCGGTTTGGCCAACAACAATCAAGTGGACAACTATGAACGTGATGCTGGCGCATTTGAGGCAGGTGGTGGTTTTGGTGTTGCCAACAATCCCGGCATCGCTGGTGGTGGTGGTGCTGGCGCCAATGTCGACGATGAAGGTGTTGCCGCTGCCGATGTGCCCATTGCCCAACCGGATAACGGCGATTTAATGGCCGCCGGTGCCGATCCAGATGATAATGCCGCCGATATCAATGAAGGTGATGAATCGATATTGAATAATGTCATTGTCCAGCATCCAAATGATAAAGTTTATCATGGAAAATTAATTGCCGGCGGTAGTGGTGGTGATAGGAGTAATCCCAATGATGATGGTAAGTGAAAGGGAAAATATGAAATTGATAGATAAATAAATATTTTTGTTTACAATTGGAACAGGGATATACAAGATAATTTTTTATAGACCTATAGGATCACAGATTTTTTTAAATAACCTCGTAGCTATAAGTTTTGGTTTTTCTGAAGAATTTGTTCGAAGGACCAGTAGATTTGATACCATCAGTGCTGAAAATGTAGACTTTTTGTCGAATTTGTTGAAAGGACTGTGGGAAGTGTGGAGTTTTTTATGATTTTTTTTTCAAACGGTCATTCGAGCTAAAAATTAGATATTTGGCGTGTTCGAAGAACTACCACAGCTGAAAATGTAGATGTGTTTATGAATTTTTTCGAAGGATTTTTTAAATAAATTTTCCGATCGCAGTTTTTATGGTATAAATTGAAATGTTAAAAAAATTACTTCGAAGGATCCATTTAATTTTTTTCCAATAACCATCAGAGCTGAAATAATAATTAATTTAAGATTTTTTTCAAAGGACCATAAGAACAGAAAATTTCGTTTTTTTTATGAATATATTCGAAAGTGCAATCAGAGCTTGAAGTTTAGAGTTTTTTATGATTTTTTGAAATTACTATCACAGCTGAAAATTTAGTTTTTTTTTTGACGAATTTGTGCAAACGACCATCAGTGCTGAAAATTTAGATTTTTTGGTGAATTTGGAGAAATTCGTTTGAAGGATCAACCGGACTAAAAGTGTAGATTTTTTTGAATATTTTCGAAGGACCATCAAAGACGAAAAAATAGATTTCTTTGGCGGAGATTTTTCAGAGGATGATCACAGCTGAAAAGATAGGTTTTTAATTTATTTAAAAATTTAAATTTTTTGAAAAATTCGTGAGGGATCACCTCAGCAGAAAATGTAGATTTTCTGATGAAATTACCCGAAAATTATAGGGTATATTATCAATAGAAATCAACTATGAGAAAAGAAATCTAAAATACCTAAAATCGGGTCACAACCTCTGAATATTCAAAGTGGAGGCCTCAAAAAATCCTAGACATGAAAATGCCCTAACGCCTTGGAGGGTAGGAGGTAGTGGGGCTTGAACATTTTCTTTAAAAATCCTCGCTTCGGAAGCCTGAATAGTATATTTATACCCTACACAACTATGTTGTCAGGGTATTATAGCTTTGTGCAGCCCCAAGTTTGTAACGCCGCGAAATATTGGTCCTAGACCCACCTTTAAGTATACCGATCGTCATATCTCGACTAGCTGAGTCGATCTAGATATGTGTGTCCGTCCGTCTGTCCATTATAATTTGTAAACAAGATACAGGCCACAGTTATGGACCAATCTTCACGAAATTTTGCATGTAGGATGGATCCTGGCCAATGAAGACCCCTATTGAATGAAATGGACCAAAAACTTTATTTTTGTCTGATTTTCTGGTCGCTGCATGGCCCACAATTATAGCCCGAACATCGTGAAATTTTGCATGGAGAAGGGGATCGGGCCAAAGAATAAGCATGCCTGTTTGGAGAAAGATCGGCCAATATTTAGCTGGTCAAATGGACCCTGACTTTTGTGTGAAAAATGACAAAATTTGTATTCTATGGCGTATATATTTACCCCTGAAGGACATATACCCGAGAAGTTGATATTATATCCAAGAGAAGTGGTTGACCTTTATTTACAGGTATCTCCGTATTCGTATATTATTTAGTAACCCATTATCACTCTGGAAAGCGGAACTATAGCGCTGATCGCTTTGAAATGTTCCATGATGTTCCAGTTATGGTCAAGGACACCGCCTATAATTTTCGGTGATGATCAGATAATAATTTTGGAATGAAGTGGACTTAATTTTAATTTTAGAATTTGATAGAAAGAATATCAGAGCAGAAAGTGTAGATATTTTAAGGAGTTTTTTCGTAGGCTTTCTGGAGCTATTCTTTGTACTACCTTCCGGGTCCTATATGTAGAACTCTCTGAAGTTTCTTTAAAAACCTACGCTTGTATAGCTCAGGCTTGAGAATATTTTTTTTAATAATCCAGGGATTTGATGGCTCGGTGTAGGCTTGAAATTAATATTTAAAAATCCACTCCTACAAAGAGTGAGGCTTGAAACCCTCCTTAAAGATATGCTATTAAAGGGTTAGCCTGGGCTTAAAAATACTTTTTTAAAATCCACGTGTTCTTGGATTTTAAAAAAGTAGGCTCAAAAATATTATTTGAAAATCCACGCCCTCTTGGCTCAGTGTAGGTTTCAAAATTTTCTTTAAAAATCCACACCTTCTTGGTTCAGTGTAGGCTTGAAAATATTCTTAAAAAATCCACGCCTTTGATGACTCAATCTGGGTTTGAAAATATTCTTAAAAAATACAAGCCTTTGATAACTCAATCGGTGTTTGAAAATATTCTCAAAAAATCCACGCCTTTAATTACTCAATCTGGGTTTAAAAATACACGCCTTTAATGACTCAATCTGGGTTTGAAAATATTCTTTAAAAATACAAGCCTTTGATGACTCAATCGGTGTTTGAAAATATTCTCAAAAAATCCACGCCTTTGATGACTCAATCTGGGTTTGAAAATATTATAAAAATATCATTTGATGACTCAATCTGTGTTTGAAAATATTCTTTAAAAATTCACGCCTTTGAGGACTCAGTCTGGGCTTGAAAATATTCTTTCAAAATCCACGCTTTTGAGGACTAAATCTGGGTTTGAAAATATTCTTTAAAAATCCACGCATTTGAGGAATCAGTCTGGGCTTGAAACTTGGGGGACACAGTCTAGGCTTGAAAATCTTCTTCAAAAATCCACGCCTTAGAGGATACAGTCTAGGTTTGAAAATATACATTAAAATCCACTCTTTTTAGGACTCATCGCAGGCTTAAAAATATTTTATTAAATAGGACTCTGTGTAGGCTTCAAATTATTCATTTAAAATTCACACCTTCGACAACTCAGTCTAGGCTTCCTGAGGGGTTCGGTCTAGTCTTTTTACTATTAAAAAACCACGTCGGCACAATCTAGGCTCAAAATTGTTTAAAAATTTGGAGGTATCTGCTCAGTGAGGGCTCAGACTGGCTGACATTTTTAAAAATCCACTGCTAATGAAATGAGCTTAATAACTCGTGTTAGTTGACCCGAACGATAGAGTAAAAAATATATATTACGAAAAAATCCTCAGGCCAGAACTTTTTATACCCTCCACCATAAGGTGCAGATTCAAAATACTTCATAATGGTAAATTTTTGGTTTGAAATCTTGACACCAATAGTCTTCATATTTTTATATTGTTCCGTATTATCATAATCAGGCTAGAGAGCGCAAATGTTTCGCCGATCGTTACCAACTTTTGGATTTAGTTTCGGTTATGGCCAAGGATGTTGATCGGTTAATATTTAGGGGTTCAAATGGACCAAAAAAATATTTTAAAGTTCAGTGGGGTGTTATATGGTCGGTATGTCGCAATTCTTCAACAATGGCATCGTCGTATAATTTTAGATTATACAAGAAAAATATGAAATGCAATATGATATCCTGTCCCATGTTTATATTTCCCACTCTCAATTTAAAGTACAACCTCTCAATTAAAAGGAATCACCTTTGTATAACAAAACTGTTACATTTATCATTTCCTCTCAAGAACAATGAAAGAGAGAATAGAGCAATTACCGAACCCTGCCCCCAAAAAATTCAAATCGTTAATTATCGGAAAAATTAATGGTATTTGTTTGTCAGAGTCAATGTCAAGATCAAAGCCACAACCAGTGGAAAACTCAAATCCGGTAAAAAACCGACAGCAACCAAAACATTTTCATGACTAATTAAGTAATTTTCTTCATTGTTATGTTTTATAGTCAGATGTTTCGTCTGTTCGCCTTTGCTTAAAGGCTGAACAGTTTGTGTTTTGTTGTTGTTTGTTCGAAAAGTAAATTATATGACTTTATAAATTATTCGTTAATAAAGAAAAACCACCATGTCAGGCTGGCCTGGTCGGCTGGTCGAGCAGAGGAAAAACCTAATGGCAAAGTAACACCAGTTACCAAGCAAACCAACCAGCGAGCCAACAACAACAACACCAGCCACACTTAACCAACATAAATGCCAGGTAGGAAAAACGAAAAAACGACCAGGGAACTACCACAGAAAAATGGCCCAGGCTTTGATGGTAGCGACGGCGGCAGCAGTGTCGTGTATTGGCGGTCTTGTTTGTAAACCGAGTCTTTTAACCCAGTTTAAAGCAGCAGCAGTGGCTGGCTGGCTGAGTGCGGCATTAAGAAATCACGATCTCCAAGCACCAAGTTGGTGGCAACAGCAAACGCTTTACAACTCGGCATACCACACAAACATTTCATTCATTTTTCGTTGCATATTTTCGAATGATAAATGTTCGAGTGGAAAAACAATGCGAACTGGCTGGCAAGCTTACTGCTTGGCTGACGGGTTGCTTGGGTTTGGTTGGTCATTTTGGCTATGGGTTTTGTAGTTTAACAGTCGATCTATTGCGGCTGAATCTTTCACATTACAGTAAATACTCATAAATCATATGTCAGTCGTGTCGTGTGTGGTGTGGTGGTTGCAAGCAACCAAGCTGGCTGTGCCATGTCATGTTGCAACACTGGCTCATAAGTTTTGCCATGTGCCTTCAATAATCAACACACACATACACTAACTCATTTTCCACAAAAACTATATTGCGATGACATTGGACAAGTTGTCGTTGTGGAGTGTGTTAGTCGAACAAATATTTACGACAAAACAACAAAAGAATCATGTGTGGCGGAGGCTAGGAGTTTGCGAACCCACCGAAAAAAATTATGTCAATTTTTGTTGTTGTTGTTGTTGGTGTTTTCATCCATAAGTCTGTTGGTTAGTCATTTTGGATTGTTGGCTGGCTTTGCCTGATGATTGTTCTATCGAAATGCATGCCTGAATTATTTAAAATGCTGTCATTCGCCGCAGCAATATTAATGACCCCAAAACCGGCCATCGTTTATAAATAAAAATATTTTTGTGAAAATCT